AGAGAAAGAGAGAGGGAGAGAGAGAGAGAGAGAGAGAAAGAGAGAGGGAGAGAGAGAGAGAGAGAGAGAGAGAGGAAAGAGAGAGAGAGAGAGAGAGAGAGAGAGGAAAGAGAGATATATAATATGATTGTTAAATAAGCACAAACATAAAAGAAAAAAGCTACAGGAAAGTTTGTTTCCCTCAAGGTTGCGAAATACTTCTTAAAGAAATTGCAGCAATGCTCTCTCTCTCTCTCTCTCTCTCTCTCTCTCTCTCTCTCTCTCTCTCTCTCTCTCTCTTTCTTTCTCCCTTTTTCACTTTTTCTGTCTCCTTCCAACTCTCCCCATCTCCCTCTCACCCATGTGCAAGGCTGAGTTTACACATTTGAATTCGTCTGTTCCAGCGACTACACGTTTGAACAACTCCTTAAACTACAACTCTGAAGTTAACTTTGAGGGACAAAAAAAATTACAAAGAAAACAACAACCAATAGACAAACAATAACAAAATTTCCACAAACAAACAAACGAAACAAACAAACAAAAAAGACAACCAAACAACCAAACAAATAAACACAAACAAAAAGCCCCCAGGATACCCCTCATATATACCACTTTTGAATCAAAACGACTCTTCAGAGTAAACTCTTGGGAAACTGTTTTGTCGTACATGTTGAGAGCTTTGTGATGGAGAGACTGTGAAAAATGCTAGACGTCAACCGTGAATAATAGCGTGTTATGGCCCTTACTTTCATTAAAAGTATTCCTTCCGTGCTGTGGATAGATTGTGGCTTCGTGTGGTTACAATTAAAGGTTTCTGTGAAAGATATAAAATTTGTCTTGGTCCATGTGAATCAACGACAACAAAGTGCCGGGGCGTGTGGTATAGCGCTCGGGCACTTTGCTGTCGCAGGTGGCAGACCAGATTTCGATTCCCCTTGGGGGGTGGAGGGTGGGGGGTTTCTTTATCGAGTATCTCCATCTTTTTGGCTGAGATGTTGTAATCCCTCTTCTGTGTGGGCCTTGACAGGTAGGGTCGAAATCAGCCTCCTAATAGTAACCTAAATTATTTCGAAGTAGGCGAAAAGAACGCTTACCTTTTTTAAAAAGTTAAACTGTTCTTGACAAAAAAGAGTTAACCTCATTACAGACTTCTGTGCAAGAGTTATGCCCACAAAAAGAAATACATATCATTGGAAAAAAGACTGCTGTATTATCTCTTGAGGACGGGCACTCTAGTTATCCGACAACGATAGCAGACGCGCTGATTTGGGACGCTTTCGAAAAAGAAGCATTTATTTTCGCTATCCATACATATTGTTTTGTTCTGTTCTGTTTTCTTTATCTGAAACTTTAAAAGGTAGGCGACAACACGTATGCTGCAATGATTTGTGAACATTCGTGTCTGTCAATAGCGCTGATAAAATGGCAGCTTGCATGTATGCTTCCCTGGAAGTTGAGATTGATTCAGACTGTAACCAGGGCTCCTGGGGTAAAGATAAAATCATAGATTGTAAAGCGCATAGAGTTTGTTGTCCAAAAGGAATTTGCGCTATACAAATGTCATCTATTGTTATTATTTCTGTAAGATATGCGTCGAAATGTGTTGCATCCTCGTGTTTGGCCTACCGCTGGTCAGATCTAGTTGTTAATTGCTACGTCCGTAAAGCGTTAGGTGAAAAAAAAAAAGAATTTTTAAGCAAACATATTTCAAGACACTAGGAGTGCGCAGTTGCGAGCTCACCGGGGAGATCATGGTGGTTTTGTTGCCATGTCTTACAGGAACAGGAAATAGGCTGCTATGATCGTGGAGAAAGGCGAAAACAGGAAGGTCTTATCTCATACATTGTGTACTATGCTGTTACCAGCTGCCAAATAACATCATCAGCTGAAAGTTCTTTTACTCTTCTCAGCATAGCAAAAACTACATCGATTTTGATTGTGAGATTTTGAGAGCGAGAGAGGGTACTTCAGTATACAGGCTATAAGCTTAGAGAGTCTTCAAAGAGAAAGTAAGGAACAGAAACCATCGAAGATAAACATGTATTTAATTCATTTGAGAAATATTTCCTGTAAAAGAAAGCGAACTAGGGTAAATTCTGTAGATTTATCAAGTATGTTCTAGAGGACGTGGTATCATTCCATCAGTTATTGGCTGGGAGAGATCGTTGGTGCCAGGTGAATATGTTGTAGGAGGTCATAAGACCTAAACGAATTGAAACAACAAATACTTTCATATGGATCTTTTGAAACTTTTATTCTTATTGTCAATACTTTTATCTTACTTAGCAGGAAGAGAAAAATCTAGTTCACGCTTTTACTCGATGATAACTATTTTAAGATATGCCTAAATGACGTGTGCCAATCAACTGTAAACGATGAGTGTCGTTTTATCCTTCTGCTGACTTCAGGCACAATTCAGTATTTTCAACAGAAAGGTCTGCATCTTTCCTCCTCAAAGGACCATAACGTCTGATGACATAGAGGTTGTTAAAACAGTTGAGAAACGTGAACACAACGCCTAAAGCAGACACCTGGACAAGCAGAACATAACAGAACCAGATGTTGGAGACTTCCTCCATCAGGTAACCGATGAGTAACGGATTCGTCATGGCGCCAACAGACGAGCCCAGAAATATACCAGAACCCAGTCTCGGCGTCACCGGAAGTAGTTTGGACTCGCACCATGAAAAGCCTGACGGGAACACTGCAGACATGCCAAGGCCGGCAAACGCTGCAAGTACAGTCACACCGGTTATGACCCTTAGATGGACGCTGATGGCGAAACAGGAGAAGGAGAGGAAGGTGACACATCCGCATAAAGTCAGTATGTGTGACGGCGAGAGAGCCTTGGCGAGGAAGATCATGAGAAATCTCGAGCAGGCGAAAGAGGCCCAGTAGATGGCGGTGATGTAAGCGCCTTGAGATTTACTAACGTCCTTGAACTCTCGCACTACGAAGGTCATGAGAAAGGAAGCGAACGTATCCTCTACACTGCAGTATAGAAAGAAACAAAGACATAGACACACGGACAAGAAGATGTGGAGAGATTTAGGAAGTTCTCTCACATACCCTGTGGTGTTCTCTCCGACCTCGTTTATTTTTCTCTTCTCTTTCCCTGCCGACCTTTCGGTTATCAAGGCATAGAGAAAGGGAAGACAGCCTACGAAAGCGATAATACCAGAAATGAGAAAGGCGTAGTGGACTTCCGTTTCCCGCTTTGCAGGCACAATTATTGTCATTGAGGTGGTATTAAAATCGCCTGAACTAAAGTTGGAATGCAGATGGTCTTCATGCAAAGTCAGATTTTCAAAGCCGTGTCTTTGATGATTATCCAATCTGCTTGTAATGTTAATCGTGGGAAACTGTGACGTCTCGTTCTCAGGCAGACCGCTGTTGTTCTTGTACAGTGTGTCGTCGAGTCTTTCTCTCTGGGCGAGGAAAGGTCTGGTGATGAGGGGGGACGTAACTCCACCAATGGCGAAAAGCAGGTGGATGATTTGCATAAGTGACCTCCCCTCGTTGCCCCAGAGTCTCATGTGTTCGGCATTTGCAGCTGGAAATAAAAACAGAAAGCGGGGAAAGGGGGGGGGGGTGCTATTACTTTTCTAAATCTCAAAATGGGCAAGGATTACATCCAGGGTGATCCCCCAAAAAAAACTTAACAACTTTTTTATGAATATCTCGAGCAAACATTGTTCTAGAATGTTGTAATTTGGAACAGACATAGTTCATCCAAAAGGAATGTGTTTGATATAAAATCCTCGAAGAAAAAACATGTTTTGAAAACGGAAAAGGCTAAAAAAAAAGGCACCCAAAAACGCTAAGTTCTCCAATGTTTAAAAATCTTGTAAAGGAAGTCGTGAAAAGATTAATTGACCTTTTTCTTCATTTTCTCTTTGACATTAATTTTCCATCCCTGTGACATTTAAACAATATTTAAATTCTTTTACAGAGTTTTAAAAGCCTAATAATTTCATTCTGAAATTCCTAGAAGCAGTGCTCCACATTCCCTCTTTTGGACTCGACACATTTTAACGCGTCGTTCGAAATGTTCAGTGGCGCCCTAACACGAGGACCTGCTAAACCATGAGTTTGTTGCAATTTTTAGTGGTAGGCCTAATGCAAACTGATGCTTCATGCTATGAAAATGACGACACGGTTGAAAATGGGTGGCTGTCTTAATGCGCTATATAGAGCAAAATCATTCAATGGACTTATCTAAAATACATATCAGACAAATTCCTTTTGGCTTCCAAACGTTACGTTCAAATCTGAAACGCAAAACTTCAGTATGGAGGAAGATATTTAAAAAACAAGTTGTAAAGTTGTTGTTTTTTATCACCCTGTATTATAACAATTCATGGGTTTTTATTTTCTTCCTGTTTATTCAATTTCCTAGCGAATGTATCGTCCTGATAGGCATTCATCCCTCATCTAACGGGCGGACTTGTGGGTCAAGAAATTTTATTTAAGAGTCGGGGTCTCCAAATTCAACGTGTCTCCGACAGAACCGAGCCCGATGGGCTGAGAGCCTTGAAAACTCCTGAAACCGACTCACGTTCAAGAACGCCTTGTCTGGGATTCGAGACATGGCCATTCGTTCCGTAGTCCAGCATGATATCAGCTGAGCTTAAGGAGCGCCCAAGAGCGCACAAAGGTGTAAGAAAGCATTCCACCGCATATCTGAACAAGTATGCTTATATCTATACGCACATACACATGTACACCATTCAAAGTAAATTAAGTAACAGTAAGCGTCGGTCAAAAGAGGGACAATACAGTTATTCGTGACAAATGTCTCATACCATCAGGAATTATGGACTGGGAGATTAGAAAAAGAAGATAGTGCATGTAGTGGATTGTACACAGGCTTAGAAAGCCAGCCTGCAATGTAACAAGACAAACCCTAGGATGAAATACATGGAAGGAGGAAGAGACAAAGGCCGAGATATACCTGGGGACGAGATCATGAGACAGATCTCAGGCATATCGAGCACAATTGGCCAGAGGTAGAGAAGGTCGCCCAAAACAGAGACAGGTGGTGGACCCTTCTTAGCGGCCTGTACCCAATACCAGAGTGAAGGGGGTAGAGAGAGAGAGAGAGAGAGAGAGAGAGAGAGAGAGAGAGAGAGAAAGAGAGAGAGAGAGAGAGAGAGAGAGAGAGAGAGAGAGAGAAAGAGAGAGAGAGAGAGAGAGATTGGGGGGGGGGGGGAGAGAAATAACCAAATATATAATGGGACAACATTAAAAACTCACTCGAATCCAGCAGCCCAACAAACACGCCTCCTATCACCTTGACAACGATCATGAGTGAGTAAAGGTTACAGTAAGGGGTCAGGATTGAGCTCACACCTGCTCCCAGCAAAGTCAGGAAAAGGACAAGGGTCTTGTTTACCTGTGAAAATAAATGCTATTTTAAACCAGGTGAAAGAACGTTACAGACGCATTGCTTAGTTTGAAAAACATTTTATTAGGTTGGAATCAACGTCTGTCGAGCTATCATGGTGAATAGCATCATCCAAACAATCTTCAGTATGAGCACAAGGAATATAGCTTTACACAATACATGTCTACTAAGTTCAGCCTAGTTCTTTTTTCAAATTCAGTGAGAGGAGAAGGAGAAGGAGAAGGAGAAGGAGAAGGAGAAGGAGAAGGAGAAGAAGAAGAAGAAGAAGAAGAAGAAGAAGAAGAAGAAGAAGAAAAAGAAGAAGAAGAAGAAGGAGAAGGAGAAGGAGAAGGAGAAGGAGAAGGAGAAGGAGAAGAAGAAGAAGAAGAAGAAGAAGAAGAAGAAGAAGAAGAAGAGATGTTCAGTGCAATATCCTACTGTTCTACATCATTCGTTCACAAGCTAAATGAATGTTCGTCCACTGCAGCACATGAACACATTCGCGGGTACTCTTGTATAGTCTGCTTCTCTTTCCTTGACAAACATCTATTGTCTTTTTCTCTCCTCCTTCTTTCCTTTGTATGTTAATCTCTAGTAACACCCTGAAAGCTTCGTCACTTATTGAATATGATCTATTGGAACTGCAAGTGTAATAAAAATCTTACGAAAACTAAAGTAAAGACAAGACACCTTTCGCCAACTTCACCTTTTCCCCAAGAAGCCCACTCAGAGCTGCTCCAGTCATATAGCCACACGAATGCGATGTGAAGAAGGCTGAAGCTTGTTTCACATCTGAGTCTGTGATGATTTGAAGATCCAAGAAGGTAGGGCCAGCTTGGCTTTCCAGTACTCCCTATGAAAGATGACAGGAGAAGATTCTTGTTTTTCCTTTCTACAGTGAGTGTTTTCCACTTTACAAAGGACAACTCTGTCATTTCGAGGGCCGACCCTCCCCCTCCCCCCTCCACCTGTTTCACTCTCTCTCTCTCTCTCTCTCTCTCTCTCTCTCTCTCTCTCTCTCTCTCTCTCTCTCTCTCTCTCTCCCTCTCTCTCTCTCTCTTTCACTCTCTCTCTCTCTTTTTCTCTCCCTCTCCCTCTCTCTCTCTTTCTTTCTTTCTCTTACATGATACCTGTTAGAAAACGCACTTACGAAAGGAGCTGTAATACCGGTGAACAGAGTATGTACATTCTAACTCATTTTTTGCTATGAAATTCTTTCCTGTCTTTACATCTAAAACACAAAGCTAAGAGATAATCAAACTCAATTCAACATGGTTTTTAATGAAGGTCTTTCTGCACCCTCATCGACGCAACTTAGATCATTTATTTAGAAACCGGGCTTCCGACTCTGCCTCTCAGGACCAACCATGGCTGAGAGGTATACAACACCCCAGCAGAAAGACTGAGATACTCGCTAAACAGTGCATCACTGGCTGGAGAATCGCACTCAGGTCTCGTGCGTGCGACAGTGAAGTACCTAACTGCTACACCACAGACGCCAGTGATTAATTAGATATGAGAATGAAACAACTACAGTGGAACTGGGGATGTTGTATCAGTTTTTTCTTCGGTTGTAGAGAAACGAAAATGCCTCTCATTTGAAATCCAAACGTTTTTGAAATCTTTGATTGAGAAAGTCGAACACAGCGCACGCACATTACTTACCTGGTGCGTGTAAATGTCTTGTCTGAACAAAAACCTCATATTTGCAATAACGAACACTCGGATTCAACGAAATTGAAGGCCAGACCCGACAACTTCGTTGAAACCGAGTTCCACTGTACTTACAATGACGTAGAGGGCCCCGGCTATCCAAAGAGAGCGCACAACCCTCTGTCGATATTCGCGCTGCTTTATCCTATGGCAAAATCCTTCCTCTTGAGTTTTGAAGGTTTCCATGGAAACCTCCCCGGCGTCCTCTGCATATCCTGTCTGCTGTTGTCCCTCCTCCATTTTACTTGCTCTTCATTTGGAACTAGATCCAGATATCAAAATAAATTAAATGTTTCAATAAATTCATTTTTGCTAGACTTGCTGCTTAATTGAAATAAACCATATTACAGTCGATTAGTATTTGCCAACAGTCAGCAAAATTCTTCTCATTGAAGAAAGGGGGATTACGTACTAGTCAAAACGGGTGAATGACCATTTTGGAGCGAACAGCAAAAAAAATGAGATTCAAAAGTTCTAAACGATGTTAAAATACAACGTACTCCAAATTGCCAGAACTCAAACTTTTGTTAAAGGAGCCTGAATCTCGGGCTGAGACAACACAGCAGCGCCTTCCATCTAGTTTTCCAACTTTAAATAAATATGTAAGTGTTTCTACGCCCCTGTTGAACTAATTTAGATCATTAAGGAGGCAGGCTTTCGACCCAGCCTGCTTGTCAGGGTTGAGAGGGATGTAACAACCAACATCTCAGCAAAATGACAGAGAAAAATCTCGATAAAAATGTCTGCCCACTTGATCGGGAATGAAACTCTGGTCTCCTGTGTGCGATAGTGCTACACCATGCACGCCGGTCTCATAATTGCGAGAACTCAAACCTTTGCACAAATAAGTGCTTGGCTCTAGGACTGTAGAAACACAGCAACGCGTTCCCTAGAAGCACAGGTCAATTATAATATCTCGAACTAAAGATAAGTGTGTAGAAAACGGAAACAAAAATAAGTGGCTTAGCCAGGTATTTAAAACAGTACTAAGGTTGCAGGGTTTTTTAAATTCTTGGCCCAGTTCTGTGACCCTGTTACAATGTTATTATTATGTTAGTCACGGTGCATTGTGTTTTTATGTCACACTTCGGCCAGGCTGTCAAGACAGTATTTATTGCTTGACCCGCTTGCATTTTTTTTTTCCCCAGCCACTTCGGTGACATAGGCCTAGGATAAAAACATGACAGTTGAGGAATCTACAACATGCCATGTTAACATTTTTATAAAGGCATTTAATGTCTAATAATGCATTATGCACTTTAGTGTTCCACTGTCTTGATAGGTTTTCTCGTAGTTTTGTTTGTGAGTGTGGGGGGAGGGGGTTCTTCATAAAGATTGAAAACTCTTTGAATTCACTCTAAAAGTAAAAAGAAATAAATGTGCTTAGTTCTTGACAAATACGCACGCACACCGCACACGCTCACACACACACACACACACACACACACATACACACACACACACACACACACACACACACACACACACACACATACATATATATATATATATATATATATATATATATATATATATATATATATATATATATATATATATACACTTACAAACACATACTATCTGTAGGCCCTATATTATATTTAATGCATAATATGCATATTATATGCTTTTGGTCAATGGGTACCATTTTATGCATGTGCAAGAAAATCTAGGAAAACACTGTTAACGAACAAAAAGTGCATGGTGAGGAACAGACTAATCAATTATTCAGTCCCCAAAAGGGGCTTGCGAAAAAAAGACCAAACATTGGCTACTCACCTAACAGACTTTCGTTATCCGCACTAAGAATCGAGAACAAAGGAACGTTATGTTAAGAATGCCCTGGTATAATAAGAAAATGCTATCTGTTGCGGTATGAAATATTAGTCTTTGGCGAAGTTAATCCTGAGGAACACAATGAATTCGACAGAATCACATGTACAACACATTCCTTTGAAATCAGGATGAGCGCTGTTTGCTAGTTGAAGCGGGGCCACCATGCGTTCTTATTGTTGTTATGCATTCATTGTTGCTGTTGCCCTGCTGCTGTTGTTGTTGATTTTATTATTGTCGTCGTTGTTGTTGTCGTCTTCGACATTTTTGTTGTTGCTCTTGGTTAGGGTGTTGGTGGTGGTAGTTTTCATGGACAATAATTACGAAGAAACTAATGTGACAAGCCAGCACTTCACTCCCGACCTATTTCCTTATCTAACTTCAGACACCGAAATAGTTAAATATAAGCTTGCAAGATTAATGTAAGTGTTCTAACCGTGTTGGTCTGTATTATGAACATAGCCCTCTTGTCCATCCAGTCGGAATCGTGTAATCGGATAAGGTAAGAAGATCAGTTGAAGTGTATAGACTCCAGAAAAGATTTAGCCTGAATACAGCTATCGAACTTTGAGGAGTTTTTAAAAAACACTATGTTCGTTTGGACTTGTACCTCTCCAAAGTCGCTTCCATATGCCAAGAACACTTTTGATTTTATAAAACAAAACGGGCAATAAAGGCGCTTATCATTTTCGTAGTCACGTATAATAGTAATAGTTGTAAAACGCATTGGGCATGCAATAGAGAGTGGATATTAAGCATTATTTCTTTCGAAGCATAGGCTACCGTGTCCACCATACCAGAGACCAACCCGTTTCACTTTATCCACCCAAACGACAGCATCTACAGGATATCAGACTTAATGGTATATCATATGACAAGATCAGCTGTCGTGGTCTTACAAATCCTGCAGAATCGGACGAGAGTACTGTCTACTTTAGATCAGTTGGCATCATGGGTGCAGCGTTTTGGGAAATTCAACACGCAACGACAGTGATAGTGATAGACGTTTAACGCTGTGTATTACACCATGCCGGTTACTTAACTCATTCTAGTCGCGCGTTCTGGACATTCGACGCGCTGTATTAGGATAGGACGTGTTTTAAAAAAAGGAAGTAGCTTAATACCTTAGTTGACAGTTCAGATTTTTCATTTCTGTTTTGTTTGTCTAAAAGAAAAAACTAACCCCAAAAGGCAGACAACAGCATGCACACTACTATTATCACGATGTATGAAAATTTGCGTCTAAGATTTGTGTGGGGTGGTACAACATTAGTGTGCTACAACATTACCTTTGGCCTGCAGATTGAAAATAGATCTAGATCTACATGTTTGTATCCGCTGTGTCCTTAAACGTGAAGAGTTAATTTTTCAAGGATCTGCTCCAAAATCAAACCCCACCGATCCGTTCCTTTCGTTTCAGGCCCGTACAATAATAATTTTAATAACGTATCTTGCAGATGCATAACGAAACACCCTCAACATTTTTTTTATCAAAGAAAGACAATCTTATTGTCCAAATGTGTGCAGTGCGGAGTCTCACATACAGTTGTGAGGAGCGAACCATTACCCCTGAACACTTCACATGGAAATTGTTGTGTCTATTGGGTGATATTACAGACAGATATAGATATTCATTCGTACCAACTGCAGTGAGGTTACTGAACACACAGTGCTACAACTACAAATGAAACACACACAGAGAGAGAGAGAGAGAGAGA